AAAGCTGGAGGGAGAGGGGGCGGGAGAGGGAGAGGGAGAGGAAGAAATGAGAGTGAGGGAGAAACCTCTTGCCATAGGAACCACGTGAGCCAGCTTTCGTATTATACGAAAGTCTCCTTGTACAGTGGAGGCAAACAAGGGTGGTAAGGGAATGAATTGTTTCATATTTCTTAAGGAGTATAAAATTGTAATTTTTCTTTTTCTTTTTTTTTTTTTTTTAGGATGGAGTGACAACTTCAAGCTTCTTGCGTGACAAAATATTAATTAGAAGTTTTTGATTTCTTTGATTCATGGATTTTTTGGNTTTTATAGCAGTACATTGTTTTAAAAATAAACTCTCATTTTTCTGTCGCTCTAAGGATCTTGGTCCTAGGCATGCATGACTCCCTTGGTGAGCAGATAGGCTCATCGCTTTAGAATTATTTGGTTTATCGCAAATGAACATGAAATATATATATTTAATTTATTTTGCTCAGTTTTTATAATTTAAAGAAAACTTCCATGCTTATGCCTTTCATTTGTGAAAGGTATCATTGAAAGAATAGAACTCTTGAATTCTTACTTGTTTAAAGATTGTGGAAAAACAACAGAAAAGAACACCTCAGTTGAAGTTAGAATTAAGAGTTTTAATTCCTAAAAATTTATTCTATTAGAATATAGACAAGACACGTATGAATAGTTTTGGCTGTTCTCTTTATCGTTATGCATTGTTACTCATTATAGAATATAGAATTGAAAGAGCTGTATTTAGCTATATGTTTAGATTACCAGTTAGAGTAAAGAAATATTTATATTTAGAAAATGTCTATATTTTTCTAGGGAAGGTTTAAACTTGACTTTATAATTTAGAACCATAATTCTATATCTAGATAAAGTGGAAGCTAGAAGTCATTTAAATTTTTTCTTTTATCCAAACTAATCCTTACTTCTTTCATGTTAACAGCTGCACATTCTCTGCAAATTCTGTTTTTGAATCAGAAAGATACATAATTGCGTATCAGAATTTTTTCTTTAAAATAAAGTATTTTCTACTTTCTTGTTTCAGTTGAACTCCAAACAATGCTAATAGTCAAGTAAAAAAACATTTTATCATTACTTTAGATTTTATGCAAAATTTAGTTTTTAGAACTTCATAAGCAGCAGATTTCACATTCAATTTTTTTCTAATGCTTTATTCTCCTATTATGTTTCAATGACCAATCTCCTCTACTTCGAGGTGAGTGATCCTTTTCTCCTGGTCACCTCCTTAAGCCAGAATTGCCCGTGCACAGCAGCTGCTTCCTTTGTATCTCCTGACACAGGCTGTGGAGACTGACTTGGCCCTAGCTCCAGATTCACCAACAGCTGCACCAGAATTCTTTGTAACATCTGTCTTCACCAGATACTAGATTGCTATTTCTTTCTCTACCTTACCCCACCTATTTATCTTCTTTTACTTCTCCTTACAAAACTAGGATTCTGACCATTTCATTTCTCTCACTTAAGATACATAGGATTCCAGCATTTGTTAGCGTTTGGAGTCACAGTCGTAACTTTATTTTTCACATTTCCAACCATATTTCTTGCCTATATAGAGAGAGACAAAATTTCAGTTGTGTGGTCACAAATTTAACTTGCTACATTATATTTAAAGAGTACCTTACAGATAAGATTCAAAATTCTTTAATATCTTTAACTGTGAAAGGTTAAGAGTTTTGCTATTTTTACCACTGACATAGTCTTAAATATTCAACAAAATATATCTCAAGCCATACACATCTATATTTGTGAATGTTTTCAATGGTGATTTAAAATTATTATTTTGGAACACTTATAACATCTTTGGTCAAACATATCTTGGATATAAGGATGTACTACCTAAAGCTAAATAGATGTTTTCATCTTTCTAGGTCTTCTATGCCACTTTGGATCAAATCTACCATGGGAAGCATCCCCTGAGGAGGTCAACCACAGACATTCTCAAGGAAACACAGGAGAAATTTTATGGCTTACCATATGTTCCAAACACTGTGAGTCTAGCATTTTGATCCTGTTGTGTGCCATTGAATGGCTCTGCTAGTGTATTCATCAGTAGTTAGTAGGTTGTGTTCACCTTTCCCCTCGCAGAACTTGGAACCCTTAACATTTGTATCAAGGTTTCACATGGGGCAAATGCTAGAAATTGCCTGGCTCACTTAATGTCCCCAACCATACATTTACATATGCTTATTTTCCTCCTGCTAACAAGTGTTTTTCTAGATTCCTGAGAAAACGGGGTAAAAAGGTCATTGGCATCAGTCTGTATTCTTTTTCATTATTTTTCTGTAATGAGAAAAATGGTTAGCCATATAAGATGATGTAATTATCAATTCCTAATCATTTTCATTGCAAAGAGAATTAACATTTATTGAATACCTTATTTGTATCAGGGATTGTAATAGATGTTTTACATATCTTGTCTCATTTAGTGACCTGTCAGGATAGAGGGGCAGAAGTATTGCTACCATTTATTGAATAGTAAGTGCCAGACTTTAACTGCTTTGCAAAAAAATCTCTAATTTAACTGTCAAAACAGCCTATAAATTAGATAATATCCCCATATTTGGGGCTCATATTGTGGTTCATATACATTTTATGTCTTACCCAAGATCATTTAGTTAGTAAGTGATTGTGTAAGGACTCAAAACCAACCTCTAAAGTCATGCTTTTTTTTAGTCCTCGAAGTTCCCTGTAAGGAAGCTGAGTATGGTAGAAAGAATATTGGCCCGTACAATTAGCAGTACCACTGACTTCTTTGCAAGCGATACAAGCCCAACTCATATTGGCTTCAGCAGAAAAGGGAATTTTTTGATCCCCATAACTGAAAGGTGCAGATATATATCTGGTTTCAGTTAAGTTGGATCTAGTTAGTTCTTACAAAATATTGTTAGAAATGTTTATCTTTCTTTCCATTTCTCAGCTTTTTTCTCTGTTTCATTCTCGGGCAGGCTGCGCACTGACTAGGGGGCATGGTGGCTACCAGTAGGTTCGGGATTATCTCCGAACTTAGTCATTCTAATAGAAATAGAGATAGTTTAAAAGTGGTCTGAAAGGGGTGGGGGTGGGAGGTGGGGAGAGAATAACCTAAGAACATATATGCATATATGCATAACCCATGGACACAGACAATAGTGTGGTAAAGGCCTGGTGCAGGGCGGAGGGGATCAATGGGGGAAAAGGGGGACATTTGTACTACTTTCAACAATAAAGATAAATTTTTAAAAAAAGAAAAAGAAAAGAAAGTAAGAGTAAAACCTTATGATTATCTCAATAGATCCAGAAAAAGCATTTGACAAAATTGATCATTCTTTTATGATTAAAAAAAAAAATAAATCTCAACAAAGCAGATATAGAAGTAACATATCTCAACAAATTAAGGCTATATATGAGAAACCCACAGCTAATATCATCCTCAGTGGTGAAAAGTTGAAAGCTTTGCCTCTAAGATCAGGAACAAGACAATGATGCCCACTTTCATTACTTCTGTTATTCAACATAGTATTAGAAAACCTATCCACAGCAATCAGAGAAGAAAAAGAAATAAAGGCATACAAATTGGAAAGGAAGAAATATAACTCTCATTTGCAGATGGCATGATACTATATATAGAAAACCCTAAGAAATCTGCAAAAAGACTATTAGAACCAATAAATGAATTCAGTAAAGTTGCAGGTTATGGAAATCTGTTGTTTCTATACACCAATGATGAACAGTCAGAAGGAGAAATTAAGAATAATTCCATTGATAATTGCCCCAGAAAGCATACAATACCTAGGAATACATTTTACCAAAGAGGTGAGAAAGACTTGTAATGTGAAAATCGTAAGACATTGAAAAAATAAATTGAAGAAGATACAAATAAATGGAAGGGATATACCTTGCTCTTTGATTAGAAGGATTAATGTTGTTAAAATGTCCTTACTACCTAAAGCAATCTACAGATTCAGTGTAATCCCTATTAAAATATCAAAGACATTCTCAGAATTAGAACAACTAATGCTAAAATTTATATGAAACCACAAAAGACCTCAATCGCCTAAAAAATCATAAATAAGAACAGAGTGAAAGGTATCAATCATGCTCCCTGATTTCAAACTATACTACAAAGCTACAGTAATCAAAAGAGCATGGCACTGGCATAAAAACATATATAGATCAATGGAATAGAATTGAGAGCCCAGAAATAAATTCTCACTTATATGGTCAACTAATGCATGACAAAGGAGGCAAGGCTATACAGTGGGGCACAGACAGTCTCTTCAATAAGTGATGTGAGGAAACTCTGCAGATACATACACACACAAAAGAAATTGGATCACTTTCTTACAGCATTTACAATAGTAAACTCAAAGTGGATTAAAGACTTAAATGTAAGACCTAAAACCATAAAACACAGAAGAAAACATAAGCAGTGAACTCTTTAACATTGTTTTTGGTAGTATCTTTTTCGGTATGTCTTCTCAAGCAAGGGCAACAAAAGCAAAAATAAACAAATAGAACTACCTCAAACTAAGAAGCTTTTGCACAGCAAAGGAAATGATCAACAAAGTGAATGAAAAGACAACCTACTAAATGGGACAAAATATTTGCAAACATTACATCTGATAAGAGGATAGTATGCAAAATAAATAAGAAATTCATATAAGGTAACACCAAAAAAAAACTCACCTCAAGCAATCCAATTAATAAATGGGCAGAGGACCTGAATAAACATTTCTCTAAAGAGGATATATAGAACTGGACATATAGAAAAGGTGCTCAATATCACTAGTCATCAGGGAAATGCAAATTAAAACCACAAGGACATACTATCTCACACCTGTCAAAATGACTTTCATTGATAAATCAGAAAATAACAAGTGCTGGTGATGTGGAGAAAAAGGAACCCTCACACACTGTTGGTAGTATTGTAAATTAGTGCAGCCACTATGGAAAATATTAGGGAGAGCCCCTAGCTGGTGTACCTTAGTGGTTAGAGCATTGGCTCATACACCCAAAGCGTGGCTGATTCTATTTCTGATCAAGGGCATGTAACTGGGTTGCAGGTTCAATTCCCAGCCCTAGTCAGAGTGCATGTGGGAGGCAACAATTGATATGTCTCTCTGACATCAACCTTTCTCTCCTTGTCTCCTTCTCACTCTCTCTAGAAATCAGTGGAAAAAAGTATCCTTGGGTGAGAATTAACAACAACGAAAGAAAAAACGGAGGG